CGCTCTCTCAAGTAAATAAATAAATCTTTAAAAAAAAAAAAAAGAAAGAAATTCTTTAGGTGAGAAGTCTAAGGCTTAGAGACATTAACTGATGTAATTCTTCAGTAGTTCACAAATAGAGTCTCGATATACTCCAGATGTGTCCCACTCATAAGCCCAAGCCTGAAATTCAATCCGTACATGTCAGTGTGGTCCCCATGCTTGGTTATAGCTGGTATCCATTCTGATTGGTTCATGTGGATGCCATCCTAGTCAATATCAGTTTTCTACAGCTCTATTCTTCATGGTCTCAATGGTCCCATACTGGTTGTTTATGGCTGGTATGCACTCTGACTAGTCAATGCAAGTGCCAGTCTAGCCTATACCTGTTGTTTACAGTTGGTATCTCCTTGAGTGTTGAATGAGTTGATGAATATTTGAATATCATTCCTTCCTAAGCCCATACTCTTTCAATGATCCCTACAAAATTTCATGGTACAATCAAAAAAGGGGGATAGATTAAATTAGGGATGAAGATTAAGGAGTGTGCTTGCTTGTGATGAGCACTGGATATGGTATTGAAGTGTTTAATCACTATACTGTACACCTGAAACTAGTATTACACTGTATGTTAGCTAGTTGGAATTTAAATAAAAGTTAAAGGCAGGGGCAATAATTAAGACTATTGTGGACAACAAATTTGAACCTGGGGGAAAGAAAGGTAGTTTCTGTCATATCAACCTTTAAGCTATGAAAAATTTCATGAATACATGATTCCCTCTGTTTTTCCTTTCTCCTTACATATCAAGAAATTAATAACCATGCTTCAATGTCTATTTTCTCTCCTTCTTTTCTAGGTGTTCCAGACAAAGCATAGATATCCCTGGTGAGCCCTTTTCTAGAAAATTTCTACAGGCAGTCATCCCAAACTTGGATGTTTAATGGATGAGGTTTAGCAGAAAGCAGGAACAAGATAAACAGGCCATATTTGTTGAGTGGAGAAAGCAAACAGGAAGTGACCTAATGAGTCTACAGGCACACCACCCTGAAGGCGCCCCAGCCTGTCTGATCTTGGAAGTTAGGCAGGGCCAGGCCTGGTTAGTACTGGGATGGGAGGAAGTGAGCTAATGAAATATAGGGCCTGTGCTGACATCTTAAGCAGGTAGATGAAATGCGCCTCTAGCTCAGGTGTGTACATTAGATGAGTTTTTAAAAGGGACTAGAGAAGATTAAGCCTGAATAGAAATCACCAGAAATGGGATCTAAAACCAACTAATGCAACTACGCTGTTTACTCTCCTACTTTTTAAATGCAAAAATAAGGGGCAGCTGGGTGGCTCAGTGGGTTGAAGCATCTGCCGTCACCTCAGGTCATGATCCCAAGGTCTTGGGATCATCATCGGGCTCTCTGCTCAGTGGGGAGCCTGCTTCCCTTCCTCTCTTTCTGCCTGCCTCTTTTCCTGCTTGTGACCTCTGTCAAATAAATAAATAAAATATTAAAAAAAATAAAAATAAAATAAATGCAAAAATAACTCCACATTTCTTAGCTATAGGATTCCATCTTTGACATTCAAAGGGAAACAGAAGGCCAAAGTTTGAGCCCAGCCCTACTTTCTCCCAACACAAAGCCAAAGTCAAAGTTAAATCAAAATCCAAACATTATATTGGTACCCAGTGCAGCATCAAAGGTTGAAAATGGCATTCATAAAACTGAGGCCTTTGCTTCTCTAAGAACCATAGACTCAGATCCCACCAGGAAGTGTTAATGGAGTAGTTTAGACTTTGCTTAGGATTTGTGGGATTTTGCAGAACATGTTCATCCCTTAAGAGCCTTCCCTGAAATCACTGGGAGTTATAAGCTCATAAGAGCTGTAGAATTGGGTCCTAAATGTCATTTTCATAGCTCCTCCGTGGCCGACCGAGGAAATAAACAAAATGCTACTGAGCTACCTGCTGTTTTCTGTTTCATATCCCCTCCAGCGGAAAACAGAGGCAGAGGTGGCTCCACAAAGGGTTAAAACTCATGAGAATTGTTTTTGTAGTTTAAAATATTGTATAAGACTCACTCCTGTACAAGCGATGATTATCTGCATTTTTTTCCCTGCCTCTTCATCTAATACATTTTACAGTTTTTACAACGTTCTTTACAACTCACCTAAAACACATAATTTTCCTCCTGCTTATATCACTTGTTTATTATTTATTTATTAGATTTATATTGTGCTTTCTTCCAAAAGGCTCAAAGCACCACACAGCCAACTCTTATATAATAAACATTTCATTAAACTCTTCTTAAAAACCATAAATGGATGGGGCGCCTGGGTGGCTCAGTGGGTTAAGCCGCTGCCTTCGGCTCAGGTCATGATCTCAGGGTCCTGGGATCGAGTCCCGCATCGGGCTCTCTGCTCAGCAGGGAGCCTGCTTCCCCCCCGCCCTTCCTCTCTCTCTGCCTGCCTCTCTGCCTACTTGTGATCTCTCTCTGTCAAATAAATAAATAAAAAAAAATCTTAAAAAAAAAAAAAAAAAACCATAAATGGAGAAGTAGCCGGAGTGGAAGCAAAAGGGATATAAACAAGGACAGGAAGAAGAAAGAACCTTGGGGTCTGGTGAAACTGGCAACCAAGTAATCAATATATTAGCAAGCCCGGTGATCAGAAAGTCCTGCCCTGCCCCTTTCCATCAGCCCCACCCGCAGAGACCCTAAGGAGCCTTCTATTCCAAGTAACAGAGCCAAAATATCTCCATTTCTGTGGGGCGGGGGGTGAGGCATAGGTATACAGGGCAGTGGGGAGGTGGGAGAAGAGCTAGTTATCTATCAGGATTCTCAGGATATGTGAAAGCAAAGATACCTACACAGACAACTGTGAAAACCAGGGGAAAGATAGACATGGTAATGCTTCATAACAAATCACCAAACTGTTAGATTTTTTTTTTTTTTCCAAATACAATTCATGTTTAGTCCTCAGTTCTGAATGTATGTGATTTCCAGTGGTTCTGTAGACTTTCAGGACCAGGGCAAACTTAAAGTTCGAAGATTCTCAAAATCACAAAGTGACAGGGCAACTTTAGCTTTTAAATCCCAGTCCACACTGACTTGACAAAGCCATAGGACAAAGCCATTGACATTCCCCGTATGTGATCTCCACAACAGTGGATGGGTAGCTAAATGGGAACTCTTTCAGAAGCTGCTGGTAGAACCAGTCCAGAAGGAGTGAAGAGGGAATATATTCCAACATGCAGAACAAAGAAGAAATGACCATTCCCACTATGTGCTGTAGACAATGTAATTCAGTAGAAGAGAATACAGCCAGGAGAAAGAACAACGATAATAGTATTATCATTGCTGTTACTATGTGTCAGGCATTCTCCCGCTCTGGTTACACATGTTAACTTCTGTCATCCCCAGAACAAACCTACAAAGTGAGCAGTATCATTTTCCTAATTTTAGAAATAAGGGAACTGTGGCTTAAGTTATTAGCCTGAGGTCACTCAGTAAGTGCGTGACCTAGGATTCAAACCCAGAGCAAAAAGGTAGGTAAGGGCTCTTAGGTGGAAAACAGCAAACATAAAAAAATTCTGAGTTGACAAAGAGAGAAGTCGTGTTGGATCAAGTCTCCCTACTTCAAAGCTTCTGATATAGAGTTAACAGCACAATAGCAGGTTAGAGGCCACAAATAAAAATCTTAAAATAAGGCTGCAGCAAGCCTGGTGCAGAAAAGCATGAAACAAACTGACAGAAGAAGTATGGCAACCTGGAGACCCCATGAAGACAGGAGCTCAGAATGGACCAATGAGGTCATTCCTGAGTCCCGAGTGAACAGGACCTGGAAATGGGTATCTGAAATCGACAATATTGTCTTATATAACTGACTGCAGATTTATGCCAAGTTAACCGCTGAGTCCTACAGAGTCATCCTCAGAAATCTTTTGTGACCATCCCCATATAAAGACCATGCATTGACCACTTGCCAAGCACCAAGCACCATTTGATACACATCATCTTATTTAAGCCTCACGGCAACTATAATATAAATACCATAATTATCCCCATTTTGCAGATAAGGAAGTACAGAGAGGTTGAATAACTTGCTCAAAGTCACACACAACTAGTAAAGAATTTAGATGGACCCCAAGTCTTGGGAGTCCAGTGACTTGTTCTGACCCCCAGAACAGTGAGGAAAGGAACCTCCCAGTTCTTAATGATTTGCCACAGCTGCTCTATGAAACTACTGCAAGAAACTCTCTAAGCTTTGTTTAAGCCAGGGTTTCCCACATGTATTTGACCAAATACATATTGTTCCCATGATAGGCACGAACAACCCTTAATTCCTTAAGTGGAAAATACATAGGTTTTGGGAAAACTAGTCTAATCTTCCTATTTTGCAGAAGAGGAAGCTGAGACTCGGGAAAGATGATGCACTCACATGCTCATGCTCGTGTGTGGTAGGATGGAGACCAGACTCAGCCCTCCAGCTCCATTCTCTCCCATCTTGCAGCTGTTCCTTGTACTCCTCAGCTGCCCAGGAGTTGGGGCAGCACATGAGATTAGGCTCTGCTTTGTGGCCACCAGAAATAGAACAGGACACTGTGCCCTAGAGAGGAGCATCCTCCAGTCAAGTCTCCTGGATTCTTTGAAGAAATTTACCCAATATTCTTCCAGCCAGTAGGGGAAATTATCTTTTTTGTTAGGGGAATTGGGACAAATGTGTTCAAGAAACCAACAACAAAGGCAGCTAGTCCAATGTAAACTGATGTCTCAGATGAACTTGAACAAACTGAAATTATAGGTGCAGCTTGGTGGTCCACCCCTCACTACCACCATCCCTGCGTAAGGAAAGGGACAAGGGAAGGTGAGCTTCTTCTGTGTGAAAAGTGACAGTTTCACTGATACAGTTATGGGCTCATTTATCCCTTTCCTTCTTTTCCTTTGGCTTCCTCACCCTCACCCTCTTTCTTGCCACAGAGGACCCAAAAAGGTCATTTCCATCCCAGCCCTAGCAAAGGGGAAGGAGCTTCTCCTACCTTCCACTTGATAAGCTGCAGTGGACGCCCCCCATCCAAATTCTTCTGGGAAAGCCATGCTTTCAGAAGATGGCCAGCTAGACCATTCAGCCAAACGGGAGCTGTGTGCCCTTTAGTTAGTGGAGTCCAAGAAATTGTGCAAACAGTCAGTGGACTCACCCTGACCAAAGTCTGGAATACAAATGTGTATGCAAACAAGAAGGGAGCCAGATTAAATGATCACACTTGACTGGCCATGGCCTTGATATGAATCCAAGACACTTTGTAAAGGCAAGCATTTCCGCTTTCTTCTCTGGGCACTTGCAGAATCTTAACAGAGCTGCACCAGCCTGGATGCTTTGACAGGACACCCATTCATCTAATCTTATCCATTTTAATAAAATATGTGGACATTGTTTTTAAAAGACACATAATCTTACTAGAATTTTCCCTTAATCAATTCCTCCCAATTCTTAATCCCCACTCCTTAGAGATAACCATTTGCAATTGTTTCTTCTGGAATTTTCTCCCACGTTATTTAAAAAATAACCTGAGATTACCACTTCTTAATTTGCTTTCAGTTTTAGGTAATAACTATTAAATTCTGGATATAGAGGTAGAAGATCTAACTCACTCTCTCTGTCTCCCTCCCTCTTGCTCTCTCTCCTCCTCCCGCAACAGGATGAGATTCCCTTTTTTGTTTAAATAAATACTCGATATTTACATTACTGTGATTATATATAGTCAACACTGAGCCATGTAATAGTAGCCCATGCTTACATGCAACCTTTTATTTTCTCTGGGGTTAATCAACTGTCTGGTTTTTGTATTGAATTTTCAGTATACCTATCACTAATTCATCCCCAAACAGTCCAATAGAATTCTAACTCTCTGGCTTCCAAACACCTCTGCTTCCCTGCTCATTCTGCACTGTTTGTTTTTTAGGCCAGCACAGAGTCACCTAATCTGCACCCTATATCCCCTCTCCTTTGTGCTTTCTTCCCCTTTGTCTCTCCCTTTTAGAGAAGCAAATCCTTGACTAACTTTCTGATAAAGGGGGCACAGAAAGTAACTTTTTGGAAACTCTGTGGTTCTGGGATTGTCTTTATTCTAATGTCACGCTTGATATGCAGTTTGACTACTCTGGGATTCTATGATGGAAGTCATTTTCACTGAGAATTTTGAAGGCATTGGTTCATGGCCTTCTGGTTTCTGATTTGGCTCTTGAGAAGCTTGATGACAATCCAAGTCTTAATCTTTTATATATAACTTGTTTTGTGCCCCAGCCCACTTTCACTGCTTCCCAAGCTTCTATTTCTGAAATTTCACAGCCATGTGCCTTGAAGTGGGACTTTCTTCCATCATGCCAGGCACTCAGCGTATGCACTATAGTAAAGTGGAATGCTGGCAATAGGGGAAAGTGGGTGAGGGGGGACATGGGAATGCTCTGTACTATCTTTTGCAACCTTTCTGCGCATCTAAAATTGATCCTGAAACTAACATAACACTGTATGTTAACTAAAATTAAAGTAAAAACTTTAAAAAGTAAAAAAAAAAAATTGGAGGCAAATTTAACAGCCTTTTTTTTTTTTTAAATTCTTGTGGAGAGAGGAGTTAGGCAAAATCATGGTATGTAAAGTTACTTATTCAGTCCCCCTAAAACAGTGTTTAAATCCTCCTACACTGTGTCATGACAGGAACACAAGATTAGAATGGGATATAACTAGAGGGTAATCCTACCCTGTCCAGTTATTCTAACCCTAAGAAGAAAAAAGAAAAAAGAGGTTAAATATAGAAAGAAATGAGAGAAGACATTTAAAATATTTAAAGGTACATGCTTGGTGAAATACACATAAAAAATACAGGACGTAGGGGCACCCGGGTGGCTCAGTGGGTTAAGCCTCTGCCTTCAGCTCAGGTCATGATCTCAGGGTCCTGGGATCGAGCCCCGCATCGGGCTCTCTGCTCGGCAGTGAGCCTGCTTACCCCTCTCTCTGCCTGCCTCTCTGCCTACTTGTGCGCTCTCTCTCTCTCTCTCTCTGTCAAATAAATAAATAAATAAATAATCTTAAAAAAAAAAAAAAATACAGGGCGTACTATTCAAATAAGGCCCTGTGGTCATTCAGTTCTGAAGCAATCATCATAAATTGAATGAAAAAAATAAATATTAAAATATTTTCATTATGATACACTAGATGGCAGTATTGCAATTATTTTAGATACACACCTTGCTGTATGCAGTGTTATTAACATTTAGTTATCCCAACAATGACCACCTACCCCTGTAACCCCTAGTTAATTGCAACTGCTCTTCTAAGGATTTTTTTCCAGAAAGAACAATATACCTTCTTAGCACCACAGCTTCGGAGGTTACTTGACCACAAATGGTAGAATTTAATTTTTCTCACCTCTGATCTAATTCTCTACTATAGCATTCTGAAACAATTTGGTGTCAGGACTTCTTTACACTCTTAAAAGTAATTGAGGCCCCTAAAGAACTTTCTAAAATGTGGATTATATTCATCAATATTTACTGTTTTGGAAATTAAAACTGAGACTTAAAAAACTACTGATAACTTCATTTAACATAGCAATAAATAGCAGGGAACATAAATAACATATTTTATGAAAAATAATTATATAATCCAAAACAAAAAATATTTAATGGAAAGAGTGTTTTACATTTTTGCAAATTCTTTTATGCCTGGTTAAAGGGAAAATAGCTGGATATTCATATCTGCTTCTTATTCTACTTGTTGCCTCTGTAAAACTCCACTGTGCATTCATAGAGACAAGAATAAAAAAGGAAAATCATGTATTTGCATTATGAAAATAGTTTTGACCTTTTGTACCTCCAAAAGAGTCTCAAGGGCTCCCAAGGGTCCATAGCTTTCCTGGTACTCTCTTCCTTCCTCTCTCCTAGTATCTTGCTTTTCTACCTACAGTCCCTCTGTATTCATCTGCCTTTACAGAGAGCTCCCTCTAACTTTCCCTGCACTGAAGTCCTAATGGTTATAAAACATGTAAATACATAGCCACAGTCTTGAGTACAAAGGATTATCTTGTTTATTTTCTTTATGCAAAAAGAATTCTGATTGTATAGCTCTAACTAGCAAAGCTGGCCCATATTTTAATTTGTCATGATGTGGGTCCCCTCCATTCCATTTTAGGGCCATTGAAGAGCATTTAGATCATATGAAGATCAAATTTAAAGACGCTTAGTGTCTCCATTCTCCCATCTCTTGGTTTTGGGCCATTTTGATTAGTGCCAAGATCTCCACTATCCAAGTCTGCCTTGGGTCCTTCAAGTCCACTTACTCTCATTATTGAGGCACTGAAACCCCTCTCTATGGGTGTAAATCTGAGACCTTAGGTTCATTTCCCTCCTCAAAACCACACAGTAATTCTTTTCAGATCCTGCCCCCTTCTCTGGGAACAGCCTCAGAATAGTACTCTAAACCACTGCCCACCTTCCAACTGGAGAAAATTAGTTACTTGCATTATGGATCCTCGAATAACTGCTACCATAATGTACGCTCTTGCTAGAAGTCCTAGGAGGGCCAAGAGAGAATATATCCAGTGACCTCTGGAGTAAAAATACATCTTGCAGAGACTCTTCTCTTTGTAAATTGCAGAACAAGCTGTTCTTCAATAAGGATTCAGCTCATTACTTATGACCCTCCCAATTTAAAATGCTACAATTCAAAAACCTTGGCTTTCTAAATGTTCCTGTGTACCTGTGTCAGGAGAAAAGTAACATTCTAAATAAACTTTTTTAAAAAGATTTTATTTATTTTTATTTATTTGACACAGAGAGATCACAAGTAAGCAGAGGCAGGCAGAGGGAGGGGGGAAGCTGGCTCCCTGCCAAGCAGAGAGCCCGATGCAGGGCTTGATCCCAGGACCCTGAGATCACGACCGGAGCTGAAGGCAGAGGCTTTAACTCACTGAGCCACCCTAAATATTTTTCTGTCTGCAACAAAGACTCCTATGCATTAGCCAAATCCTTTTCCATCTGGGCACGTGATCAGACCACATTCGTCAGCTCTCTTACTGTTAGATGAGGACAGGACTGTGTCTTGACCAGTAGCATGTAGGCATGTGGACAGAAATAAAGTGCATCTCTTCCAGGCCAGGTTGCTGAGATCTGCCCACACAAGCATCTGTGTTTCATCCACATGCCATCATTCTACAGGCTCCACTGGAAAAACTGAGGCCCCAGAAACTCCTGAGATGGAAGGAGCCTGGTTCCCTGTATCATCACATGGAGCAGGGCCCTTCCAGACTCCAAGAGCAACCCACTTTGGACTGTGGTACGAATGAAAAATAAATGTTTACTTTGCTAAGCCACTGAGACTGAAGAGTTGCTGATAAACACACTTTCTGAATAATGACTATATTTTTAAAAAGGTCAAGGAAAAAGCCTAATTACTTCAAAGTATTTTTTTTTTTCTTTTTGCAGGGAGACTCTTCAGTGGTATCACATGGCTGGAGGAAAAAGGCAGTGACAGGGAGCGTGTAGGGGGTGGGGCTGGTATGAGGCACCAAAGGGCAAATCTACCTCAGGTTGTTTGTGCAATGGATTATTCATCTTGACTTTCTCCATTTGTCAAGAAAGATCTAGACAAACTTGACCCGAAGAGTCACATTTTACAAGAGTGCTTCCAAACAGAGCCCTTGATTCCTGAGAGTCATCAAGCTATTTTTAATATTTCAATAATTCTAATTGTAATTGTACGTTTACTTCCTATCGAGTCTCCCAGTCTTTCTAAAAGATCAATTTTATTACTTTTAGGTTGGAATTACATGAACTCGTCATGGTAATACCAGTTTCTCATGCATGAAAATGCAAAACCAAATTTGTTATAACAAAGCTCTTAGTTTCTTAGTAGATAGAATCTGTCAAAACATGAAGTCCAGAAAGCAAATCCATTATAAAAGGAAACTTTGATTGTGAAATTCCTAACGACCATGATGTGTGAACACACATGTGTAGGAGACAGGGGAAGGGGCATTTATTAATATGGACCACCCACGATTCAATCAACTCTCAGGCTTCTGTCAGTAACAGAATGTGATTTTCCTTTGACTACCCGTTTTCCTCTATGCAGCCCACATTCTCCCAGAAGAGTTGACCCTGTACCCCACCCACTAACTCACCAGCTCTAAGGATTAATTTTAGGCCATCTT